CTTGCACAATTGGTGGCTGACTAAATACTTTTTTGCCCCACTGTACTTGCTTCTGTTCTTCATATATAAGAGTAATATGCTGAATTGCTGCATATGAATCTGAATATGCTATCAGTTTGAAAAGGAATACATAACAGGTAGCTTTCTCCGGACATACCAGACTCTTATTTTCATTAATTCTAGCTGGACCAGTGGTAAGAATTACAGTCTGACAATGTTTGAAGGTTAAGCATTGCAAGCACCACTGGTTTAGAGTATGCACAGCTTTTGCTCATTTGAATATGAATTTCAGCTCAAATTTTGTTTTGGAAACTAGGCTTTTTGTAGCGAGTAACTCAATAAAGGGGTAAAATAATTTCTGCATTTAGTATTATGACATGTTTTAATATATAAAGAGGAAGAGGGAAAAAGAAGAATAGGCACAGCAAATATTCTTATTTTATTGTCCTAAGTCTTCAAGGATTGGTTAGTTCAGTAAAATCACAGCCAAATAACTGCTTTAAAAATGCACATAATTCTTTAAAATGTTTCTCTCTCTCTCTTTAATAGGTACCCGGCCACCACTGATAAAAAATTTACCCAAGCCTATTGAGAGCTTAATGACTCGGTGTTGGTCTAAAGATCCTTCACAGAGACCTTCCATGGAGGAAATTGTCAAAATAATGACACATTTGATGCAGGTAAAATATTTTAAATCCTCAATATTGCTGAAATAAATAGACTGGTTTATAGAATGAATGGAAAATAGAAGGTATGAATGTGATAGAGTGAAAGGGAATTTTGGAAGTGAGTAGAATAACTATCATGGCATTTTGAGGGACCTAAAAAATAAACCCTCTGAACTTTTGCAATAGTATTTAACCACCATTCAGTAAATTTAAAATACATGGAATTAACACCAATTTTCCACAAAACAAAATACAATTTAGTGCTTTGTACCAAAATTCAGACTTGTTTTCTTATTCCTACCCTTTCCTTCTTTGACCCAGTTGCAAAGAGGAAATCATTTTGAAATAGTGTTAAAGCAAGGATAGGCAAGCAAATGTTGTACAGATTTTTTTTAACTAAATGTAGTTCTGGGTGCTATAGTCCAAAAGATTTGGAGGATACCAGAGGTATTTACCTCTGTTTAAAAGTGTGGCTTGTTAAAAAGCCAGAAAAATAAATGATTTTTGGTTAGCTACACAAATTAGCCAGAGGTCCCCTTTGTTCAAATGAAGCTTTCATTAGTAGGGAAGCAGAAATTTCTAATTCGCTGTGGCCATAAGAGGAAGAAGAGGAGTATATTTTGATTGATACAGTAATACCATTGTTTCAATGCCATTGGTGAGAGAAAAATTGTATTGTTTTAAAAACAAATGTAATAATATTTTAGCCCTTTTTGTTATTAAGCATTTTTTGCTAATTTCTTATTCTGGTTTGGCTTTTCATGTTATAATTTCTTGTTAAATAATAAATTCATTGACTAAATCTCAAGTTACAACTTTATCTTGGAAGCAAATTGAACTTACCAGTTTTTAGATACTTTTCTTAAAAATGGTCCTTGTAATAGGGGAAGGTACAAGACTCCATTAATATTTTCCTCTTACATTGCAGTATTTTCCAGGAGCTGATGAACCTCTACAGTATCCCTGTCAGTATTCTGATGAAGGCCAAAGCAACTCTGCTACTAGTACAGGTAATCAGATTATATGTTTGAGAAGCCATTGCTCAATCCCACATGTTTTAAGCCAGGGAGGATAACCTTTTACTGGCAAGGAAGACACACATTGTTAGCAGGGAGAAGCTTCAGGGCTGTGGTGGTCAGGGCAAGGATACCAGATACCTGGGCTGTGGCACATGTGGGCAGAGCTGAGATTTTTCAGTGTTTTTTGTTTATGGGGACATGGGAATGTTACCTGTTTTTAAAAAATGCATAATCATAACTTCAACTAAAGCAAAATATTTTTAATAATCATAGGTTCATTTATGGACATGACTTCCACAAATACCAGTAACAAAAGTGATGTCAACATAGAAGCAAATGATTTTCAAGGAACTGCTACGAATGACACTATTAAACGTTTAGAAACAAAACTGGCCCAACAGATGAAAAATTCAGCAAAGCAGGTGGTAAGAATGTAGAAATTTGTATTTGAGGTAATTTTTTTAGAAGCAAAATGGTATGATAATCCTTCATCTGTAAAGCTGTGAGCAGGATGGAGCCCTCAAATGTCATTTTCCATCCCTAAAATCAGACTTCCAAAATTTTGGCAACATCCCATCTAGTACTATTAATTGGGCTTAGCCACCCAAAACTCCTTCAGATTCCCCACAAAATATGGGAGGAAATCCTAGCTTCACCACTTCAGCAGCATTACCAAAACTTTGTTCTGTCCATTGTGGCCCTTTTCTGCAACAAAAGAACAAATATTTTTTTAAAAAAACTGCCACCCCTAGCAAGCAAAATATTATTTGCCCCAGGTATAAAAGACATTAAGAATCTTCATCACTTTTTTTAAAGCTTAAAACCAAAATAGACAAAAAGTATACATTTGCACCGTTTTTCTGTGATAATGTCTAGGTTCGCAAAAACTTGGAAGCTTCCTTACTGCTTTTCTCCTGTGTTGTAATGTTTATGGGTTTTCATATCATTTTCAGAATTAAAAATGAGAAATGAAAATTACTTTAAATATACAATTTTCATTTATTTTTGAAATCAGTATGATTATTTCTTGGCAGGGAGAACCGGGCCGTTTGAGTTTACCTCCATCTCGTGGTAGTAGTGTGGAGAGCTTGTCAGATGTTCGTGGGCGACCACAGTCAACTCTTGTTTCAGGAGAAGGCAAACGAATGAGTGCTGACATGTCAGAAATTGAAGCAAGAATTGCTGCTACTGCAGGTAAAAGTATTATTTTTAAAGTCCCCAGTTGTTTTTAGGAACACATTTGGCATTTTGTGAATATATTGTGCTCTTGCAAAATGGCTGCATTCAGTGGCTTTGCCGTATAAAAACCTGCCACCCCATAGGACTCTTATCCCAGAAAACAAAGCAATCAGACTAAAAGGAGATTAAGTTGTTGCAAAGTTGAAATCTGAATTGCAAACCAAATAATCCTTTTTTTTTTTTTTGAGTCTGCAGTCTTTTCCTTTAAATGCCAGTTTCACAGAAGCAAAGTGATGAGAGTCATAGACCAGAAACTTGGTGAAAAAACAGAGTTTAAGGCAAAGATTGGGTTTACATTCCCAAATGCCAAAAGACATCATTGTCCTTTCACAAAACACTTGTTTTCAGAAGCAAACTCAAAATTCTCCAAGATAGACACATAGGCAAAATACATGAAGTATATTTGAAAATAAGGATGGTGCTGGAGACTAACGATCTATAAGATAGCAGGTTTTAGGGAGGTTGTCCATGGGCATACTGCTGCCTGCAAACATCACATTGCAATTTCCATCAACTTGTATGACTGAGATGTATACAAGCTAAAATAAGGAAAACCATATACATTTCTCTGCAAGTGAGGTTTTAGATTGTATTTTATGTTAATCCTTTCTCAAATGTTACAAAATGTGTAGACCTTCTTTGTGTGACCAAGGATAAGCATGTTACCTGTGCCCTATGATACCTTCAGACATAGTCACCCTCCAAATATAGAGGCTGACTGTTTTCACTGGAGACGTTTTTCTTTCCATGGAGCTTCTCTGTATGAGTTACACCTCTTGATTAGATAATGCTCAGTTTGTTAGGAGTGCCCCCTAAGCCTTTGGAGCAAAGGAGGGAAGGAGATGCATTCTGCACAGGAAGTGAGGAAGTCACTGAAACTTTCTAATTGTTATGTCAGTAGGATTCTTCTACTGAACTAGTCATCTTCCATGCTAGGGCTCCTTCTGTCCCCAAGAAGTAGATTATGGTTTTGGTAGAACATTTTTAACTTTGAAGATAAATGTTCACATTTCAGTATTATGAGATAATTTTATAGATAATAGTTTCCATTTAGCTATTTCCAGTGTTAATTTATTATAGCATAAAAATGACTTAATTTGATGGCTATAATGTTCATAAAGCTCAGAATTATAGGCTACAATATCAATAACAAAAATCAAAATTAGTTTATAATAATCTATAGTCTATTAGTCTGTGTAATGTATTTCAAATGCTAGACTATGATTGATGTTCTGAATATATTAATGTGCCCTGAATAAGCAGTCACTTCTTTTTATGAAGTAATCTTTCTGTTGTTTATGTCTAATGAAGTATTGGCCAAGTAGATATTATATTAAACTTTGTAAAGGATAATTAAATCTCTACCACTGAGATGTAGTCTTTTTTTTTTTTTTTAATAACAGTAGTGGGTGAATACTTAGTATGTCTTCCTACTTCATTGACGAGCAGTCAGCCGGTGATCCTTGTATCATGTGCATCTCTTAGTCAAATCCTCTTTGTAATTGATTGAATTGGGCAAGATTGTAATCCAACCCTCCCAAGGCAGCTTGCTGAGTGGGAAGAGGGAGAAAATAGAGTATCATGAAGAATGAGAAAGAAAAGGGGATGCAGAGAAGAAAAAATTAAAGAAAAAGAGAAATACTAAAAAGATTTTGGTTCTGGTCCTACCCCTTCATATCATAAGTCCAACTCTACATTGGCATGTTTTGTGGCTCCCAAACTATTGTTAAACTTCTCAACCTTTTATCTATGCTTATAAAGTATTTATATAAAAGATGTGACTATTCACTGAGAGAAATGTAGCAAATATACATACTGGGACTGTTTCTGGTTTCTCATTCATTTTGACCCCAGATTAACTTCTGACATCAGTGGAATAAATATAGTGAAAGATGAGAAGCAATTCATTATTTTTAGGACTTGAAAATTTTGGCAACACAAACAACATAATTGCTGGAGAAAGTTCCAGATATAGGATTTATATTCATATAAATGTGTTGAGAAATTAGTTTCTTGAATACTGCTTGTTTAATAAAAACATGCTCAGATTTGTCAAATAAATCAAAAACTGTTGTAGGTGAAATAAGTAAAATAAGTAAAATATTTTAAGAATAGATTTGTTTGTTACATTAGAAGACCAATGGAAGCAGCAAATCTTCCTTGTGTGCTATTACAGGTAGTCCTTGCTCAACAACCACAATAGGGACTGGAAAATTAATTGTTAAGCGAGTCACCATGTGACCAGACCAGATTTTACAACCACTTTTATAACTGTAGTTGAGCGAATCACATGGTCAGTAAGCAACTACAGCTAACCCAATGGACCGTTTTGCTGGAATTCGCTTAACAACCATATGATTCACTTAACAACCATGTGATTCACTTAACAGTTGCAGTGATTTGCTTGACGACTGTCATAAAAAAAGTTACAAATCACGTGATCACGGGGGTGGTGGGACAGTTTGCAACAGTGGTAAGTGCGAGTACAAGTCGTAAAGCACTTTTTCCAAGGTCATGGTAATTTCGAACTGTTGTTAAATGAATGGTCGTTAAGTGAGAACTACCCGTATACAAATCGCTGAGAATAGGCAACATAATCTTTAACTGCAGAGGACACCGTCTTTATTCAGATCCATTCTGCCAGTTCAACAACCTTGCCCAGAAAAAGTGTTCTTAGTAGCTGATTTTAGGACTGCCTACGCAGATCTTCTTATCAGTTGCCATATTGATAGCATTCGCCTAATCCAGAATAGATTCTAATTTAATGTTTAAACATTACTTCCTTAGTATATCTTTTTTATGTTAACTGATATCATTAACAGCTGTATTTAATTCCAAAGTTCATTTCTAGCAAGCATTTGTACTCTTTCATAAATCTCTTAATTATGTAATACTGTGCTTAATATTATGGCAGCAACTGGTTGTGGCTCATTTTCAGAAGAGAAACAAATTAGATTCCATTTAAAATGCCAAAAGTAATTGAATCTAATAATACTAGATCAAAAAAGCCTGTATAGAGCTTTATATATTCTGACAGTCAAATATTTGGACTATAGCATAGAGCTTACATTTTGCTTATTTAAAGAAACTGAGTTGTGTAAATCGATTATATTTATTTTGCTTCCTATGTTGTGAAAAGGTATCTCTAAGCACTTCACATACATTTAAAGGGGAGCCAGTGAAAAATTCCAGTCTCTCATAGCTAGGGTTTGTTGTTGTTTCCTTGTTGCCCTTTCCACTCTGTTCATTTAAATTTTGTGTCTCTAACTATAACTAATATTGTGCTTTGTTACATTGTTGATCCTAGTTATGAATGTTGCTCTTAACAAATGCTTTACTGTTTTAAGCATGAATGGAAAGCTATGCAGTTCATTCTGCATGATCTTTTTTTGCATGGAAACCAGTTTAACCAAATTAAGTTTTTAAAAGAGCAGTTCTAGTCTGAATTATTTGTGTTATCATTATAGTCGTTTGCATGTGTATTGTATGTGTATATATGTTTTTTCAGCCTTTTCCAAACCTAAACGAGGTCATCGTAAAACTGCTTCATTTGGCAACATTCTGGATGTCCCAGAGATCATCAAACCAGGTATTGCATCCCAGCTGTGTGAACCTATTGACACAGATGCTGGAGTAATGATTGAATCTTTAAATACTTTTTGCTCCTGTTCATGGGTGCTTGATTACTCACTGGCCAAAAATAATTGAGGAAAGAAATATTTCTCTATCACTTGTTTATCTTCCAAATTAATGAACAAATTTGTAACAAGATTGCTCTTTTTTCAATGTAGGAAGAACTTGTCACCATCTTTTTTCCCTTTGATATTGAGAATGAGATTGGACTGCAGCTCCAGAGGGCCTTGAAGGAAAAAGACTACCTAGAGTGGGTTGGGTATGGAGCATACACTGGGACATCGATCACACTTGTCAGTGACCTCTGGTAGAACCAGGACAGGGCAATGCCACTGTCCTGGTTTTTCTTGATCTCTCAGTAGTTTTCAGTATCACCAATCATGGTAACCTTTTGGGCTGCCTATGGGAATGTGTAGTGAGGGGCACTGTGATGTTGTTTTCCTTTATCTGTAGGCAATTCCAGTTGTTGTTGAAAAGGAGGAGAGGTTGAACCTGAGGCTGCTCAGTTGTGAGTGGCCTCAGGGTTCATTGCTCTTGCCTCTTCTGTTTAACATCTACATGAGACCACTGAGTGAGGTCATCTGTCATTTTGGGGTCTGGTATCAATATCCTGGTGATACCCAATTGTACATCTTGACCCCAGTCATCCAAGTGATAATGTCAATCTCTTGTCCTATTGTCTAGAGGCTGTGAAGGTCTAGATGGGGAAGAATAGACTCAGGTTCAATCGTAGCAATACCAAGTAGCTGTAGGTATTTGGGCTCCTAATCCCGGATGTTTTCCATTTTTAGTCCTGGATGAGATAGCACTTCCCCATTTGGGACTGGGGCACAATCTGGGGGTTTTCCTGGACACTCAGTTCCTGTTTGAAAAGCAGGTGACAGCTTTTGCCACTTAAGCTTTTGCAAAGATTTGTCTTTTGTGTCCATTCCTAGACCAGGGCCTTCGTGCCCTGGTCATCTTCTTTGTGACTGTTGTAATGTGCCTTGGCTATTCAGAAGGTATAGCTGGTCCAAAATTGGCTGCAAAGTACAATCAGAGAGAGTGAACATGCTCCAGGTCTCACCAATGATAGTACCTGCCCTCAAGAACAGCATTCCTCCCAAGATCCATGTGGGCCGTGCCCTGATTGTGTTTAAAAACTCTAAAACCTGGTTTTTTTCCCAGGCCTTGGGTTAAGCTGAATGGTGAGAGTCTTATAGGATTTTATATGTTAGTCTGAATGTTCTCTGGATGTATATTGTTCTTTTCTTTGTTTCAGTATTTATACTGTTTTTAATGTTCACCATCCAGAGTCTTTATGGAGTTGGGCAACCTTATAAATTTGTCTAATAGGCAGACAGATAGGTAACTGTTGACATATTCAAAATCAAAAAGTTTCTCTTGCAAATAAATAGTTTTTAGGTATAGCAGGAGTGCATTTGCTATTAAATAATAATAACTGTTTTGAGCACCAACAAATATTATAATAGTTTGATATGGTCATGGTAATTTAGGCATATACAAAATTAACATGAGCGTAAAAAGTTTATACAAAGGACTTTTAAGTAGCTTGGACTATGTTAGAATTGAATAAAAGTAATCTTCAGAAGTAAACACATGTTTTATAATTGGATGGAATTTTATTTTAATTTTTATTGTTAAGAACCAAAATAAATATATGGTAGGGTACGCAGCAAATAAATTACAAAATGTACATATAAATGGAAACATGCTTACATGTCTATGTATGCAGATACTTAATATTGTAAAACAATACCAAGTTGTCAGTATTATGCTTATTTCTCCTAATTTTAATAAATGGCCCCTATTTTTTTTTACAAATTTCTGCCTGTTTCTTAATTTAATGGTATCACTTTTTTCATTATTTGACTTTTCCATCACTTTCTTTAGTTTCTTAGCTACATGGAACTTTGTAAAAGTCAGTGAATTATAATTAAAGAACAGTGGCTTAGATCATAGGAGACGCAGGATGCGGTTGATAGGAGTTTTTCTCACTGCTTCCTGTTTCCTTCAGTTTTTCTTCTTCTAACTCTTCCTGTCTTCTAAACAGCTTTTTTCTTAAATTTATTAGACAATTGTTAAATTATTAAAATATCATTCATTGTTGGTATTTTGTAAAATGTATAGTTCAGAATTTAAACAAAATGAATAATTTAAAATTATGAAGTTGGTGTTATAATTTGAATTCCCATTTACACTTTTGGAACCCAGTAGACCAAAAGCAAAACAAGTATCCATGATAGCAAACTCAAGATTAAATTGAAATGAATCAATTTATTGATAACCAGTGACTGAAAATATTGTCATTATACAGAATATAATATCTATTTAAAGTAAAATATAGCATTACTACTCTACTATCTAGAAAATATTATAAATGAAAAAATAATAAAATAATAAAATAAAATAAAATAATCAATGAAATTTCATAAAGGTTTTAAAGTAGTATAAGAATTTAATTGACAAAGCAATTTGAATAGTAATCATATACATGCATCTCCTTTCTTAAACTCCTTCTTATCTGGTTATAATAGGCAGAATAAAACTGGTATTATGCATAATTTACATCAGTTTACTAATGGGAGCACATATACATTATTCCAGTGGGTATAACTCATAATTATAGGAAAGAATTTACAAGTGCTTTTTCCTTCAAAATTGTCAAATTATTTTAATTCTTTACAGGAAAGCTTGTTATTCTTTCTCACATAATATTTCTTCATCAGGTAGTTATCAATAAGACACCAAAGTATGATTTGATAACTCAATCCACCAAGGCTGTTCTAGATATTGCAGAAGCCAGTAGTTTCTTGGGCCTAGGAAGAGCAGATTAACATGAACAAAATTAAGATTTGAGATGATTTAAATAATTATTTTCTAAGTAATAATTTTCAGAGCAAATGTATATGCAAAGCTTAATTAACACTATTCTGTTTCTCAACAGAATGCAATTATTAAATTTGAACTACACAAAACCTGTTCAATCTGTTCTGTAGTTCTAGGCCATAACAAACGTACTATGTCCTACTACTGCCTGTCCTACAAGCTTGGTTTTACATTCCTAAGTAAAGCATGAAGCTGGGCTTGCTCGAAATTGACTGATTTTTTCCCCCATCCTCAAAACATCCCACACTGAGTCCTCTAATCATCAGGATAAGGATACTTGAAACTGCAGGGAGAAGACACTACAGCTTTGTGTAGATGCATTGTTCAAAAAAGTTTTGATGAATGTACTATACATAGTAATTTCTAACCAAATAGCAAAGCAAGTTTCATTTTACTGAAGCTTTACCACATTCTGCATTAGAACTGAAGAGAGTGTTATACAGTGTGTTATAACAGAACAAAGAAAGCTATGAAAGTAATTCTAAATGGGCAATATGTAATGCCTAGCCTGAAACTTGGCTATGATACAAGGGCCAACCCCCTTGGTCTGTATCATGATACAGAATCTCAGACAAGTAGTTTGTAACTCCTTTCTAAATGAAATTTTCAACAATAAATACATCCTTTTGTAAATTTGTAGGCCAGTATCTTACCATCATAGGTAAACATACATTCATACATATATAAATACATACATACAGATATCCTCGGTCGATGGTGCTGAACGAATGGTGGTTATAACTGGTCCTTGGAGTTCCAGACATCCCAGCACCCCTGTGATCACGTGATTGTGATCTGGGCACTTGGCAACCAGTTTGCACTTACAACCGATTGCAGTGCCCTGCAATCACGTGATCGCCATTTGCAATCTTCCCTGCCAGTTTCCCCAGAAAGTCAGTGGGGAAGCAGGCAGGGAAGGTCACAAGTTGCTGAGGTAAGTCTCCCCTACCTGCACACTCTCCCACAGCCCCTCTACGCTCGCGCTGTGCCAGCCATTCATGCACCCACATCACGCCTCCCACACACCCATCCTACGCTGCACCTCCCACACACCCTTGTGCACCTCCCTGACCTGCACCTCTCATGCACCCTCCCCGACCTGTGCCGCACCTCTCATGCACCTCGCATACCTTCCCTGACCCACACCACACGGCTAAGGGAAGACTAGAACCCACAGTCTGATTTCTAGCCCAGCACCTTAGCCACCTCTGGATATGTCAATCTTGAAACATTAATTCAGAATATTTCATACAACTCCATTCTTACCTCTATATTGTGCAATCAGCTGGACTTGAAATATTTATTTATTTTGAAGTCACCTTGGGTGCATTAACACCATTGTTTTAAGTTCCCTATGTAAACATTAAAATTAAAAATCAGTTTCAAAAACACAGCAATATGTGATTGAAAGTTTACAATATTGAAAGTTGTGTTTTTAAAGTTGGATTCCTCAACTCTTACTATTGATTCAGGAGCAACAAGTATTTACTGTATTGATATTCTGCGTGTTTGGCTGTGCTTAAGCTGTTTGCCATATGCCTGTAGCAGCAATGAAAATGCTTTAGCCTAACCCCCTGCTTCAACTTGTACTGCTGGTTTTAGTTTCTCCGTTAAAGCAGTTCAGTCTCCACAAATTCTGCTTAGCACAACTTTCCTGAATGAAAATATGTTTTTATTTATAGTTCTACTTTAAGCTGATTGTTATTGCTATTATTATTTTTGTGAGCATGATACCAGTGTTTCTGCAACTCATATCCTAGGTTCTCTAAATTCAAAAAAATGTTACTAATCCGAAAGCAGTATGAATACTCCAGCTATTTTTTACCTATTTATTTCAACTGAGCTAATTCTAGAATGAGTGAAATGTGGGCATCATTATTACATCAGTTATGGACAGATCATCTTGAGGTTTTTCCTGAATTGCTAGGGCAAGTTCTGTAAATCTGTTAATGAACTATTGATTTGTTACCTTGAGGCTCATGCTGAATTGCTAGGACTACAGACCAGTTGAATAACTTTATTAATGAACTACTGCTTTAAAAAAGACAGATTGTTTTGTGCATTAGAAAATGTAATTATTTCTTTGGAAGTTGGTTTAGTTGCCTGAAAATGTGAGTACATGTCTCTCTCAGTACTTCTTGATATTTTCCAGAAGTTCAAAAATTCTGAACCTGTATGCAAGTTGCCCGATATGCCCAATATAAGATGCATTGCCTTAGCTTTTTGATGAAAAAGTAACACATAATTTTAACCAATCAATAAATCAGGGTTGAAAGCATAATCCTGATTTCAAGACTCATTCAAGTTGCAAAACCCTGAGCTTTTGTGCTTACTTTGTATTTTAAGATCTTGCTCAGTCAATTTTTTTGTGTGGAAAAAATGTGTAAAAAGCTGCTCAATACTAGGGGACTGTGGATCGGCTAAAGTTGGATTTGTATTTGTATTTGAGATCCAAAAATGGTAAACTGAAATTTAAATTTTGAGACTTAAAGGCAACAAGATTAAGATTAAATGTTTGAGACTTAAAGGCAAACCACTTCAGTATTCTACTCCATATAACATTTAGGCATAAGCTATTATAGAAAAACATCAACATGCTTCAGCAGTTTCATTTTTTGACAAAATGAGATGTAAATAGGGAAGGCAGATCCTTTAGAAAGTGTTCACCCTTCAGCAGTGTTTCAGCTGAATCATTTCAAGGGTTTCACAGCAATATTTTTTTAAAAAATATTCTCCCTACATCTCTTTTAAGGCAAAACTATCAGGGATGAGGAAAGGACAGCATGGCATCCTGTAAATTGTTCAGCTAATGTGGAAGTTGTGCTATTTCAGACACAATAAAAAAAATTCTATACAAGGCAAGACAAAAAGCAAAGAAAAATGATTTGATTATTTGAGGAGTACTGGGGAGAATGAAATGGGGTGAAACATTTGAACTGCAGACAGACTGGAAACACACTAATAGGGACTATTCTGTCAAATAAGTAGTGACAGATAAGGATCATGATCTGGATTTGGGGGAAGGTAGAGAATCACACAAGAAGAATGAATAAGTCTGAGTTTCTCTTTTTCACACTGCTTTCTTCCAAGTGAATTTGCCTAAACAAATTCAACTGAGTGAGATATGAACAAGCAGAGCAGCACTCCCACTAGTACTCTAATAAGCAGATTCTGTGGAAGTGATAAATTCATTGACTAGCTACTCAGGTCAGTTTCCAGGTCATCACACCATTTAAACCCAGTTTGGCCGTATATAGAGGGTATCTACAGATTTAAGACTATGTAAAGCCAGAAAATCCATTATCTCCAAATTGTCTTCAGAATTCTCCAAACCGATTTGAAGGCATCTGATTCAATTTGGCACCTTAAATACTTTAAAGACTATATTTGAAAAAGTAATTTGATTAAATCTCCTTCAATTCACATTTTCAAAGCTCTGCACAGCCTTACCCTCTATAACAGGGAAAATTCACTGGGTTAAATTGATTGGTTATATGAGTAGAAGGCACCCTGTACCACCAATATTTCTCTTTTCATTTCTCTACCCACCTCATCCTTCTGGCAGCTCTTAAATACCCTCTCTTGGAGGTCAGAACTCCCTTCTGATTGGTATCTGGGTGCAAAATTACCTGATTTAAGAGTATTCCCATCTTGAATTACTGCTTCATATAACAGGACCCATTGTGCAAAAATTGTTCTTGATCTGGAGAGGCTTTTCAAGAGGGCAAAGGGATGCAAGGAGGAAGTGATGGGGAAGAAAAATAAACTAACTTTTCCACTCTTGCTTCCGCTGGACACATTCCAAAATATTAAGCAACATACTATTTTTAAAAAAAGATTTGAGTTTTTTACACTGCTCAAGCTTCCATATCCTTCCTTCAACTCATCTAATTTGTATTTGAATTAAAAATGCCTATACAGATACATTTATAGGTGAGTTTAAAAGTAAAATACTAATATATTTTAAAATGTAAAATATTTTATATATTTTAAAAGTTAAATAGAATATTTTAAAAATATTTTCAGAAAGGGAAATAAAAGCAAGTTGGACATTGTAAAATGCAATATGAGGGACACTGGGAAATTATGCAAATGATAGCCATCATTGAATTCCTTGCTATAAGAGTTGCCACTGGTCTGTTTATGTAATGCAGTCTTCAAAGACTACGTATCTAGAGTGTTATGTCAGCTGTTAATTGAAACTTTGGAGTGTTTTCTTTTTGGACAGCTGATTTCACATCTCAAGAACAAAGACCATTATAATACCCAAAGGCACAGAAAATTCTATACACCAAGAAAATATTCTTTGCCTTGTCAGTCATAATGAAATTTATTGTTATGGATCTGTTGACCATTTTTAGTAAGTTTGATAATATTCAAAGCTGTAGCTAAAGCAAGTTAACTTTTTAAAACTTAAGTGCAGATTTGAAGAGCTATTTCTGTCTGCATTGGATCCAGTCAATACAATGGATTCTTTCTCAAATAAAAAATCTAGGAGCATCATGAGTTGAACAGAAATCAAGTTGACATTTCTTAAACCATTTTTGAAACAGCACTTTTTCATTGATTAACCAAAGAAATTAAAGAGCTGGCAACCTTGCTCTAGAAATCCCCGTAACGTAACCTCCTTGAAATAGATGTCATCTTCAGTGCCAACACCACCCCCACACTTGCCCATCCAGCACTAAGCCTGTTAAAGCACAACTGACAGAAGATGGTGAAGAAAAGTGCAGAAGCTATTAATGGGACAGGAGGGGTTATTTCATTAGGATATACTTTCTGTTGACAAGCTGGGTGGGTGGGTGTGGCAGCTGTCTCTCTGCTCTCCCCTCTCCTTCCTATATACAAACAGACTCTTTATCTTCTTGCTGGATTTGTACATACTCTTGCAACATTATTACTTTGAGTAAATTCAGTAGTTTCTTTTCCTTCTCATCCTAGCAGGCAACGGGCAGCAGAGGCGCAGATCCATTCAAGATCTTAGTGTAGCTGGAACAGATTCCAACCAGGTAAATACGCATTGTGGACGATTCATTAAAAATTGCCTGAATTTTATTAATTTAAGGATTATATGTCACCTATCAAATTGCATATCTCAACATTGGAATATATAAATATATGAGAGGAGCACTAGGATTACGAATATGTGATATAAGTTGTGTAAACTCTTTTTCATAGCTTTATAGGAAGTCCACTTAAATTAGCAAAAAAATGTATGTAATCATTTTTATTTCAACTTGGCTTTTACCAAGCTTATAATTCTGTTCATATATCCATTGAAACATACAGGAGTTAGTTTCAGGTAAACAACATTTAAAAGACTGGATGATTTACACAATGGAAATGCCAAGTATTATGATTATCAAACGGTGTTTTGGACTGTTACTATATTGTGTACTTCTTGGATTCAGTTAAGTTTAGAGAGTGAAGTTTTAAATTTCCTCTCTTTAAAATATATCCAAATGTGTTCATTGAAGCTTATGTCAAATAAAGATGCTTAGGACTACAACCTTGGTTAATTTACCAGTTATGCTTCTTTACTGCTAAATACTAAGCATTGATGTGTTTTGAAAACTTTACTTGGAAAGATACAGTTGAAGGAAATAAAACTGCTAAAATGTTGCAAGATATTTCTGATATACATATGTATATATACCACAGAAAGAGTATCTAACGTGTATTTAGTTGGTGGTTGAAAGTGAAAGCACTGAGGAAAAAAGGGGGAAAAAGCTGTTATGAATAGTTTTTTGTACAGAACTCATGCTTTGGATAACATTTTTAAATGGCAGTTTTTAGAGTGTGAATGCAGTGTGCGTATGCAATTATACATGAATGTGACCTTCCTTATTTCAGATTCACTATGATCAGGGATTAAATTGGAGATAGGAGAGTGTCTCTGCACATGCATTTGCACACAAAATCCTGATATTTGAGCACTCCCTCTAGCAAATCAAGAGTCACAATAACTGCAGTAGAAATCAGATTTAGTGTATAAATTTATAAACAACCGTGTAAGCCTTCCAAACTGTGGCTGCTTTGGTACTTCAGAAAAAAAGTGTTTTGTTTATGGCCGTACATTGTGCAAAACACCTTTTTCACATAGTTTGCACAGCCTGTTATATTTGTTGAGAAAGTAGCCCTTAGATTAATCAAAAGCTGTTATAGTTTAGAATGGCATTTGAATTGACATTCATAGCCAAAAGCTCCATAGTTCCTTCTGGGCAACAACTCAGATGGCAGAATTTTTTCTGGGAAAAAAAGTCTGATTAAGATAAAAGTAGTGCCACTCAGAATGGCTGACATGTAGACTTTACCATACTTAAATAACTGTTGGGTAAATCATGCCAAGATGACTGTCATGTTGCCTTCTCTGCCATACCATGTTCATTTCAGTGCTTACTATACACCTTTTTCTCAAGGTCTTGTTCCTTTTATTTATGCAATGTTAAACAGGTGTAAAATCTTAGAGCCAAACTAAACATGGTAATAGTTATTCTTTTAATGAGTTGGGGTTGGAAGCAGGTGCAGCGACCCAAATTGCTACTCCTGTAGAAGCAGGTCCATGACTTGGTGGTCCTCCCACACTCATGGCTCCTGCTTAAGCAGCAGGTGGAAGCCATGGTTAGGAGGGTCTTTTCCCAGCTTCAGCTGTTGCATGTATTGTGGCTGTACCTGGGTTAGAGGACCTTGCTGCAGTGACTGATGTCCTCACCATCATTCGTCTAGACTACTACATTTTAAAAACCATTGAGAAGCTTGAGTAGGTGCAAAATGCAGTGGTCCAGATGCTTCCAGGCAATCACTGCTGAGAACATGTGACACCAGTATTGCAGGCCCTACACTGGTTGCCTGTTAGCTTCCAGGATCAATTTTAAATTCTGATATTAATCTATAAAGCCCTTATCACCGTAGCTCCAGGTTATTTACAAAACTATATCTCCTCACTGGAATCAGACCAAGCTCTGTGATTAGGAAAAGCAGCTCATTGTTTCTCATTATCATCAGGATGGGGGGCCAACACTCAGAGGCATTGTTTTTTGGTGATAGCACCAGCTTTTTGAAATGGCTCCCCACTTGAGGTTAGGTTAGCTCCAACCCTCGCCACCTACTGGAAGAAGCTGAAGACTTAGCTGTTCTGGAGAGCCAGGTGAATGGGTAGTCTATATTTTATACCTGTTTGGGTATAAAATTCTCACAGAGGTTGGTCTGATTCCAGTGAGGAGATATAGTTTTGTAAATAACCTGTTTGGGGTTATTTTTCATATTTTGTTATTGTGCCCATTATATACTCACTGGCAGTGGTATTTAGAGCATGCTGCTTTTGAAGTTGGTATCCAGCCATCAAGACTAGTAATCGTTGCTAGTCCTTCATTAATTTTTCTAGTCCCCTTTCAAAACTAGTAGCTGTCATATCTGATGGGAGCAAATTCAGAAAGTTAAGCATTTTTTAAAGTTCTTTCATGTATTGATCCTGAATCTCCCTGCATTTAGTTTCCATGAGTAAACATATTTTTAAAATTTTCAGATAGAGAAAATTCTTGCTATCCACTTCTTCTCCATATATGATTTTATGTATTGTGTCCCCTCTTTCCCAACTTCCTTCTAAACTAAAAAGCACCAGACTGTAATAGAGCTCCTGAATTTGTTCCCCCTGCCCTCCCCAAAAAAAGTTTTGGTATTTTTCTAAATATAATACAGTTTTTATGATGCAGCAAAGCATAACTGTACTAGGCAGAGGTTCTAGTAGAAGGTCACCCCAAATATCTGCATTGGATCACAATTTTGTTTTGCTTAGGTGAGGTAAAGATAACAAAATGTCCCTGAGAGTATTCAATCCACAGAAGAACTTTGAATTTACAGTATTGTCATTCATTTATGTTAATGGTAAGAGTTTGTTTTTTAAAAAATTATTGATACAGGAAAGCAGAAACAGCAGTAGATCATCTAGTCCTAGTGTGAGAATGATCACTACCTCGGGACCAACCTCAGAAAAGCCAGCTCGTAGTCTACCATGGACACCTGATGATTCTACAGGTAAAACAATTCCTGGTGTTATGGTTATTTTATCATTTAACACTTTAAGGAGTGTTGGGTTAACATGGTAATTTACATTAACAAGGCCTAAAAATTACATTTTCAGATTTTAACTATCAAGTTGGTGATGAGCATCGTTGACCATCTGCTGTGGGGTAAATGAGGATGTTGCTATAGCCAGTCCATCTTTGTTTGGTTCTTGTATGCTTCACACCCCTGTAAATAGAGTGCAAAAAAAGTAATGACAGGTGCCATCATATACTATTTAAGAGTCTCATTGCCCCTCATAGTCATGAAGGATGATAAGGCAGATGCTATCAAGGGACTGGTTTGCCTCCTTGCTGGCCTGCAGGTGCTGGATCATGGATGGATATTTTAAGAGAACCTGCTGAAGTTATCTCCCAAATGTTGAAGCCAGGGCTGCTAGATGTTTATTTTTTGTTACAAAATATGTTTCAATATGCTTGGTAAACTATTTTAACATGAAATAAGCAAGCACATTGATAAAACGAATGTATGTATCTTCATTTAAGGCAGACTAGAAAGCAGTGCTCACCATTATGTTCATGATTTTTTTCTGTTTCATAGAAGTGAAATCTAGTATGAAAAGTTACTATTTTATACCCTATGTCTTATATAAATAACTATACTGAGTGCAATGACACAAATTACAGATAAGCTACTTCAAGCAACTTTCTAACAGTAACAAAACCATTTCAAATAATGTACTCTAATAAAAACTGACCAACATAGAACAGTAGAAGACTGGTAGTAATTATAATAGTAAAGACCAATCATTCGGTAATTAATAAGTTGTAAATATGATTTAAGAAAAATTAATCATTTAATCATTTAAAAATTAATCATAAGCTTTTCTGGATTGGGGGCTGCAGTTTTTTGTTTTGGACATCTGAATTGCATTGAGGCGTGGCAATAAAACAGTGATTAATTTGTTCGGTTGATTTTTGTATTTTGAGGATTCACATATCCTCAGTATTCCAGCTGTTTGGAATCAATTACGATGCTAGAAATCACCATTTTTTTCCAAATAATTTCATTAAAGATTATAATTACAATCATAAAAACTAATACAAACTAAAAAAAAGAAAATAGAAAGAGTAAAAGGTGCAAAGGGGAAAAAATAGGAAAGACGTAAAGAATAGAAAAAAAAGAACAAAAATAGACAAGGCAGCCATCAACAGGCACGTAGAGATAAACAACATCTGCACACTATTCAAAAGAGACAATAGAAAGGAAAACAAAAGACCAGACCATCTCCTCACTAGCAGTCATCACCCAGATAAGCAGACATTAACACCAAGATTACTACCAGACATACAATCAAGCAGTAAACAATACCCTAATCAAGGA